TAAATTCAAAAGGGGGTGAAATAATGAAATGAAATAGAAGGCAAAATTAAATGTAATACAGCCAAATATATTTTAGTATTCATTTTAATTAAATTTAAAACAATCTTATTTTACATGCTAACTCCGGTCCCCTCTGCCCCCAGTGACCGCGTTCCCCTCACCACCACCCCCATCCTACCCAGTATCCACTCCCCAGAGATAGTGAGGCCTCCCATGGGGAATAATCAAAGTCCATCACATCATTTGGGGCAGGGCCTAAACAAAGTGACCATCAACTAGGAAACTAAAATGAATTGACTGAAATGTAACGAGTGTCATGAAAAAAACATAAAATAAAATGATGGAATGAGGTGAAATGCAATTTAGTGAGCGGATTTAAATGTACTTGTATATTCTGAAATGTAATGAACTGAAAGAAATGATCTTGAAGTCAAACAATGAAAACCCAGCAAAGAAGATGTCCGGAGTTATAGTTACAAACCGTATTTAGGTAAAGGAGGGTAAACAGTACTTGTAGATGAAAACTGACCAGGTCACATTGCCTTTGGTCACGCATTGTCCCAAAAGAAAAGGACACAATCAGAAGTTTCAATGTGTCCCCAAAAGTTTTTGAAAGTTAAAAGTTGCAGCTGAGAGATGGTCCCCAACTTACCGATCTGCGGATGGCTGTTTGGTCAGGAGATTTACAGTGTCTACTGCGAGTTAGGCTCCTAATTCGCAAACTGGCTCTTCACAGAGATTTGATGCTCGGGCTCTTTAAACTCCATCTTTGCCAGCAGCTGAGATTTTAAAGCCAAGTTTTTTGTTCCATTCCGGTGTCACTCACTGTGGGTGGGCGCTGCTGGGGGCTGAACCTCCAGTCTTGGTGAAGAGGGGAGGGGGCTGGGGAGAGGACTCAGATCAGACTGCAGGGTGAAGTGTAATTTTCCTACAAGACCCAACTCCAGAGACCAAAGTACCAGGTCTGCTGCCTGGATTCGTTCTGTTCTTGTCTTTGTCTCCTGTGTCGTTTCCCTGACCCCCGGCTAATTCTCTGCAATCTCCAGCCAGGCTGGAGATCTCCAGCTCCCTCAACAGAGATCGAGAGAGGGACACACTGGTGCCTGAATCACCTGAGCAGCTGGGTCCCCAGAGCCAGGCCAGCGACTCTTGCTGGAGCAGCTTTCACTCTGCAAGTGGCCACCAATGGAACCGCAGCCCACAGACTGGGAAAAGATCTACACCAACCCCACATATGACAGAGGCCCCATCTCCAAAATATACACAGAACTCAAGAAACTAGTCAACAAAACACCAAATAACCCTATTAAAAATGGGGTACAGAACTGAAGAGAGAATTCTCAATGGAGGAAATTAAAAAGGCTGAAAGACACTTAAGAAAGTGCTCCACATCCTTAGCTATCAGGGAAGTGCAAATCAAAACAACTCTGAGATACCATCTTACTCCTTTCAGAATGGCTAAAATTAGAATCACCAAAGATGACTCATGCTGGAGAGGATGTGGAGAAAGGGGAACACTCCTCCACTGCTGGTGGGAGTGCAAACTCATACAGCCATTTTGGAGATCAGTATGGCGTATCCTCAGGAAAATGGGAATTAGTTTACCACAGGACCCGGCAATCCCCCTCTTAGGCATATACCCAAATGATCCACATCCATGCAACAAAGACATCTGTTCAACTATGTTCATAGAAGCACTATTTGTAATAGCAAGAACCTGGAAGCAACCTAGATGCCCCTCAATTGAAGAATGGTTAATGAAGATGTGGCACATCTACACAATGGAATACTACTCTGCAGAAAAAAAACACTGAAATCTTGAAATTTGCAGGCAAATGGATTGAACTTGAAGACACCATCCTGAATGAGGTAAGCCAGTCACAAAAAGAGGAAGATGGTACGCGCTCACTCATACATGGATTTTAGACCTAGAGCAAAGGATCACCAGCCTATAATTCACACCGCCAGAGAAACTAGGATACAAGGAGGATTCTAAGAGATTCATACAAGGTCCCTCACAGAAGGGGAAAGGGACAAGATCTCCTGAGCAAATTGGAGTGGGGTGGGGGGCAGTGAGTGGAGAGGGAGCTAGGAGAAAGAGAAGGGGAGGAGAGGAAATCACGTGGGACTAGGAAGAATCAGTCGGGGGGATGAATAGATGAGACAGAGAGAGAGAGACAGAGAGAGAGAGAACATAAAAGAGGGAGCCATTATAGGTTTGAAGAGAAACTGACTCTAGAGAAATGTTCAGAGACCTACAAGACTGACCCCAACTAACAATCTGAGCAACAGTGGAAAGGCTACCTTAAATGCCCTTCCCTGATAATGAGATCGAGACTAACTTATCCACCATCATGGAGCCCTCATCTAGTAGTTGAAGGAAACAGAAGCAGACACCCACAACAAGACACTGAGCAGAACTGGAATCCAGAGCAGAGAGGGAGAGGACAGGACCAGGCTGCAGAAACCCACAGACACAGCTGACCTGAGCCAGGAGGAGCTAATGAGCCCCCAGACTGATAGCTGGGAATCCAGCATGGGCCTGACTCAGATCCCCTGAACATGGGTCTCAGTTAGAAGGCCTGGGCAGTCTAGGGGACCTCGGACAGTGGAGCCAGGATGCATCCCTGGGGCAGGAAAGGACTCGGGGAGCACAGTCCCCGTGCAGGATGCTCCCTGCACAGATTCTGATTTTCCCTCCTGGAAGGCATCGCCATCCCTGTGGAGTTGGGGGTGGGGGGGGGTGGGAGGGAAGTGGCATCAATATGTAAAATAAGAAAATAGGAATATATACGTGGCGTTGGCGTGGCCTAGCGGGCGCACTGACCTTTTCTTTGCAGAAGCCACTTCCTCCGCATGCTGGCAGCCGGTGGCTCCTCCTGGGCTTGGCTTTGCCTTGTCAGTCGAAGCTGTGTTCCGACGAGAAAGACGTGAGGGCCGGCCGGTCAGCAGGGTGTTGTCCCTCGGGTGTGCTCACCGGTTTCCTGCCGCAGCAGAGCTTGCTTTCAGCTTTGGCGCGGTGTGGGTTTGCGCGGTGAGGGTTAGGGTTTGCTCGGTGTGGGTTAGGGTTTGCGCGGTGTGGGTTAGGGTTTGCGCGGTGAGGGTTAGGGTTTGCACGGTGAGGGTTTGCGCGGTGAGGGTTAGGGTTTGCACGGTGAGGGTTTGCGCGGTGAGGGTTAGGGTTTGCGCGGTGAGGGTTAGGGTTTGCGCGGTGAGGGTTAGGGTTTGCGCGGTGAGGGTTAGGGTTTGCGCGGTGAGGGTTTGCGCGGTGAGGGTTAGGGTTTGCACGGTGAGAGTTTGCGCGGTGAGGGTTAGGGTTTGCACGGTGAGGGTTTGCGCGGTGAGGGTTAGGGTTTGCGCGGTGAGGGTTAGGGTTTGCGCGGTGAGGGTTAGGGTTTGCACGGTGAGGGTTAGGGTTTGCACGGTGAGGGTTTGCGCGGTGAGGGTTAGGGTTTGCGCGGTGAGGGTTAGGGTTTGCGCGGTGAGGGTTAGGGTTTGCACGGTGAGGGTTTGCACGGTGAGGGTTAGGGTTTGCGCGGTGAGGGTTAGGGTTTGCGCGGTGAGGGTTTGCGCGGTGAGGGTTAGGGTTTGCACGGGGCAGCTGGCTGTGCGTCCTCGGGCTCTGTGGGACTGAACTTTGTGCTGTGACGCTGTGTGAGCGTCTGTGTCCCGGTTTGGACAGGTGTCTCTGTGAGTGTGTGAGTGATGTGTGCATCTCTGTGTGTGTGTGTCTGTCTCTGTGTCTGTCTGTCTCTGTGTCTGTCTGTCTCTGTCTCTGTGTCTGTCTCTGTCTCTCTGTGTCTGTCTCTGTGTCTGTCTCTGTGTCTCTGTGTCTGTGTCTGTCTCTGTCTCTGTGTCTCTGTGTGTCTCTGTCTCTGTGTCTGTCTCTGTGTCTGTGTCTGTCTCTGTGTCTCTGTGTGCATCTCTCTGTGAGTGTGTGTCATGTATGTGAGCATCTGTCTGTGTCTGTGTCTCCCTTGAGTCCTGAGTCCGCTCTGTCCTTGAACTCACACCCGCCTGGCTCCCTGCGCGCTCTGTGTCCGCTCCCCCCGCCCCCGCCCTCGCTGTTTGGCTCCGTCCCCTCCGGGCAGCGTCTACGCGGCACCCCCGCCGCCCCACATCGAGCTCCTCGCCCCACGCAGCCGCCGCCGCCCCGGGTTGGAGCCCTCGGATCGGCACCATTCGCACCCCCTCCGCGGACCGGAGCGCGGGGCGGGAGGATGGGGGCGCGGGGTGGATGTGTGGGGCGGCAGCCGTGTCTATGCGGCCCTCGCACCGATCCCGGGGCCCCCGGGGCCCCGACCCTGCCCGCGTCCCCACCGCCAGCTCCGGATGATCCGCGTCCACGCAGCCGGCGGCGTCGGGCGGGGCCCGGGGAGCGGGGCGGGGCCCGGGGGCCGCGTATAAAGGGGCGAACGATCCGGATCCGGACCCCGTCCCCGCCCCCGCCATGGAGCAGCTCGCGGCGTTCGTGTCGCGCTCGTTCGCGCCGCGCGCGGGGAACCGGATCGGACCGGACGGCGCCGCCCGCCGGCCCCGCCCACGCCCCCCGCGCCCCGGAGCCGGTTCGGACCCGGATCCCGATTCGGATTCGGACCCGGATGCGCGAGGGCGGCTCGGGGCGGAGGACGCGGGTGAGGATTCCGTGCCGGGTTCCGTTCCGGGGGGGTTGGGATGGTGCCGGTGCCCGCGGGCCGGGCTGGGGTCCGGAGTCGCCCTCCCCCCCCTCAGCCCGGGGTGGATCCGGTTCGCCCCAGTTTCTCCCCGCGGGGCCGCAGGAATGAGTGAAGTAGAGAGCGAAGGAACGAATGCGCGAGTGAACGAATGAGCGAATGAACGAATGAAAGGGCCTGGTGAATGAGTGAGCGAGGGAGGAACGAATGAAGCGAGCGGGTCGAGCGCTGGAGTGAATGAATGAGTGAGGGAACGAATGAATGAAAGAATGGCTCCGCGCTGGGGAGTTCAGCACTCGGCGAGCGGGAGGACGAACGAACGAATGAATGACCCGGGCCCGCACCACCCCAACCCGCACCGATTCCCTCGCTGACCGGCACCATCCCAACGCCCCCGCCCGGGATTTTTCCCGTTTGTTCGGCTCTAACTCGCGTAGACGCGGTCCTCCGGGCCCCGGCCCCGCCCACCGCGGTCCCTGTGTCCCCCCCAGGGCCGCCCCGTGCCGCCCCCGCCCCGCCCCGCCCGCGCCGCAGCCGCACGAACTTCAGCCCGGAGCAGCTGGCGGCCCTGGAGCGCGCGTTCGAGGACACGCACTACCCGGACGCGTCCACGCGGGAGGAGCTGAGCCGCCGCCTCGGGCTGTCGGAGGCGCGGGTGCAGGTGCGGGGCGCGCGGGGCGCGCGGGGCGGGCGGGGCGGGGAAACTGAGGCAGCATCCGAGCCCGAAAACCCCGGTTCCGTCCATGCGGAGCGGAAAAGCCCGGATAATCCATCCGGGTTCGTTTCAGACCCGGGCCCGGCGCGGCCGGCACCATCCCAACCCCCGCCCCGCCCCCGCCAGGCTCGGGCCGCGCTGTCGGGACTGATTAGGGGCGGAGGCCCCGGACGCCGCGCTAACGCGATTTAACCGATCCGGGTTATTTCATTTAGCGCCGGGAGAATAACCCGGTTATCGCATTACGGCTCGGGTTTGGGTCCCAACACTGGCATCATCCCAACCCCCCCGCCCGGCTGCGATTAGGACGACGGCCCGGGCGCCGCAATCAAAAGTCAATTAGCGCGGCGGGGCGGGGCGGGGCGGGGCGGGGCGGGGGCCCCGGGGGAGCCGCGTCTACACCCGTCCGCCCCGGCCCCGGCCCCGGAACGGCGACGCCGCAGCTGTCGTTATTGTTACTGCTGTTGGTTGTTATTGTTTTTTGCGGACGGCGGGCGCAGCCGCGTCCACACCGCTCAGCGCCCGCCCCTGCGCAGACGGCGCTGTGGTTTTGTCGTTATTGTTATCGTTATTATTGTTATTTATCGTCGGTGTTGTTGCTTTTTTATTATTATCTTACTTTCTTGGGGGTCGGGCGGGCGCGGCGGGGGCGGGGAAACCCTGGGGCCGCGTCTACACGGTCCCCACGCACCCCGCAGCTGCCGGCCGTTATTGCTATCATTATTGTTAATGTTTTCATTACTGTTATTGCTTCCGTTATTTGTTGTTGTTATTTTTCCGTCCCTCCCGGGCTGCCCGGGGAGCCGCGTCTACGCCGGCCCCGCCCCGCGTCCGCGCCGCCCGGGCGATCGAGTTTTATGTTATTATTATTTTATTGTCGTTATTGTTTTTCTTCTTTATTGGATTTGTTTCTTATTAGATTCCGCCCGGGGCCGCGGGGCCGGCGGGCGGGGGCGGGAGGGAGGGGGCGGGGCGGGGAGGGAGGGAGGGGGCGGGGCCGGCGGGAGGGGACGGGAGGGAGGGGGCGGGGCGGGCAGGAGGGGCGGGAGGGAGGGGGCGGGGCGGGCAGGAGGGGCGGGAGGGGGCGTGGCGTGGCGGGAGGGGCGGGAGGAGGCGGGGCGGGAGGAGGGGCGTGAGGGGGCGGAGCCGGCGGGAGGGAGGGCGGGGCCGGCGGGAGGGGGCGGGGCCGGCGTGGCGGGCGGAGCAAAAAAACCCAGGAAAATTTGTTTCCATCCGGATTCAAATCCGGTTTCACAGCAAAGAACTCGGGTTTCCCCGGGTGCGGGGTCTCCCGGGCGGGGCCGGGGGGAGGCGGGGGATTCCCCGGGGGCGAAATAACCCTTGGTTTCCGGCGGGCGGCGCTGACTTCCGGGCGGAAACGGGGAAATCGGGTTCGTCCAGGCCCCGCCCCCGCCGCCCCGCTGGCCACGCCCCCACCGCCCTGTTGGCCCCGCCCCCGCCCGGCCTCCACACGGGGAGAGGGCGATGCTGTCCCCTGCTCTGCGTGAATTAATGAAACTGGAACAACTGGAGTTTGGGGCTGAAGGAATGAACGCATGGATTAGTGCACGGGTGAATGAATGAATGAATGAATGAGTGAATGAATGAAGAAGTGATGGAGGAAATGACAGGGGAGTGAACGCGTTAACGCGTGAGGGTGAACGACTGAAGGACAAAAGTGACGCAGGGCGCGTTAGTGAATGAATGATCGCACTGGTGAGTTGATGGACAGGTGAACGAATGATCAATTACGGGGGGGGGGAACTAATGAATGAGTTAACGACCAGGAGAATCGGTGAATGTAGGGGGAATTAATGATTCAATGGACTGATGCCCGGCTGAACTAATGAAGGAACTAACGGTGGCCACGCCCCCGCCCCTCCCTCAGGTCTGGTTCCAGAATCGCCGGGCCAAGTGCCGGAAGCAGGAGACCCAGACCCACGCAGGTGGGCGGGGCCGGGAGCGGGAACGAGGGGCGGGGCTTCCTGCCACGTCAATCAGGTCCCACCCCCTGCTGTCACAGGGTTAACTTGACTGACAGCTGTGATAGGAAGTGGGGGCGGGACTTCCTGCCGACCTCACCCAGCCCCACCCCCTGCTGTCACTCACAGGCGTCCTCCTCGGCCCCCCAAGAACTCTGGATGCCTGCCGCGTGGCTCCGTACGTCAGCATGGCCACCCTGCGCGTGCCCTTCCCGCAGGTGCGTCACTTCCTGTCTGCGGGGTCACGTACAGCCCCACCCCCACTTCCTGTCCCCACTGACCCCACTTCCTGTCCCTGACCCCGCTTCGGTCCCTGTCATCACTTCCGGTTCCTGATGTCACTTCTTGTACTCCCAGGCCCGCCTCCAGCCGCTTCCGGCCGCTGGCCCCGCCCCTTTCCTGATGTTTCCGCCACCGCACTTCACGCTGCCGATGACGTCACTGGCCGAGTCAGCCAACATGGCCGCCTCCAACATGGCCGCCTCCAACATGGCCGCCAGGGCTGGCGGCAGCAGCAGCTCGAGCATCGAGGACCTGAGGCTGAAGGCGCGGAAGCATGCGCAGGCCCTGGGGCTTTGAGGGCGGGGCTGGGTCAGGGGGCGGGACCCGGGAAACACCGGAAGTTCCGCCCCTTGGACCTGACATGCAACTGTGGGGCGGGACCTGCTCTTATTACATCTGGCTGTCAATCACGTGTCGGTCCCTCCCCAAGAACTGTGACTAAGGCCACGCCCACAGCGAGTACGTCAGTCAGTAAACCCCACCCACAGCGACGATGTCAGTCACTATAAGCCCCGCCCACAGAGATGACGTCACTCATCACAGGCCCCGCCCACAGTGAGGATGTCAGTTACTAAGGGAATCAGTGATCCAGCCCACTTCTCACATCAATCACGGATTGTCCCCGCCCTCCTGTCAGTCATCACTAGCCCCGCCCTGTCAGTCACTGTGACTCTGACCCCGCCCCCTGCCCGTCAGTCACTGTGACTGACCCCGCCCCCTGTCTGTCAGTCACTGTGACTCTGACCCCGCCCCCTGGCCGTCAGTCGCCGCTAGCCCCGCCCCGGGGCGGTGTCTGTCTAGCCCCGCTCTCCCTGGAACTGAAGTGCACAGCTGTGAGAGTTTCAGAGCTGCGGGCGCTGTTCGCTCGCTGATGTACACCGCTGCCCTCAGTTTCCGCGCATTCTCCGTGTGTGCCCTGTAAAACCTTCCCTTCCAGCTGGCGCCCACAGAGGGGCTGACATGCTAAAACACACGATTGCACCCTAACACTACTGCTACCCTGTGTGTTAGGCCGTGCTGTACTCGTCACCCACAACCATGATGCACTCTGTCACGGAAGTCACGTGACATGCTTCATGGCAGCATCGGGTACAGGGCGGGGCCTCAATGACTGTGTGAGGCCAGGGAGGGGCGGGGCCGGCAGCCTTGGGGGATTCTGGAAAGCTGGGTTGGAGGCGGAGTCAGTGCGCTCAGTATGGCAGGCACACACAGGAGCTGTGTGCAACGCACGAGTCACACCCAGGGTCACACGCTGACACACGCAGTCACACCCAGGGTCACACGCTGACACACGCAGTCACACGCTCACACAGTCACACCCAGGATAACACGCTCACACACGCAGGGTCACACGCTGACACACGCTGACACACGCTCACGCACACTGGTCACACGCTGACAGACGCAGTAAGTCACACCCAGGGTCACACGCTGACACATGCAGTCACACGCAGGGTCACACTCAGACACGTGCAGTCACACAGACACGCTCACCTACTCACACGCATGGTCACACGCTGACACACGCAGGCACGTGCAGTCACACGCACGCAGTGTCTGAAGCGCACACACATGCACGCAGTGTTGCACACTTACACGAACAACTCTACACCCACCCAGACTCTAACCAGCCCACGATTATGTGCGCTGCTCCGCGTCAGACACGCGTGTGAATGTGTTCCCATGATGTCACATGAGCAATTGCCTGAGCTGCCCGTGTCACACGTGTCACACACGAACACCGGAACCCGGGTGAAAATCCCGGAAAATCTTTATTCAAAACTACAAATGTGGCGTGACGTACTCCATGCGCGACGGGTGGGGCCGTCACCGCACATGTGAGGGGCGGGGCCATCGCCCTGTCCTATTTCCACGCGTAACTAGATGGGGAGGGGCCACCATAGTCCCCGCGTGAGGAGGGTGTGGCCCCGTGAGCTGCGCTGCTCCAGCGCGAGCCCTGGCTGCAGACCCCATGGGGGTGGGGGATGGGCGTGGCCTCACACAGTGAGGGGGAGGGGCAGGGGGCCGCGGGCCCCACCCACCCGTCACAGCGGCTCCAGTCGCCCTCGCCTCACTGCAACGCGTACAGATCCACGGGACTCTCAGGCCTGAGGGCGGGGCTGCAGGGCGGGGCCAGCGTGAGGGGCGGGGCCGCAGGGAGGGCGGGGCTGACGGGGACACAGGGTTGCGGTGGCGCTCACCTCCCCCTCCCCCGCTCACCTCTCCCCCTCCCCCGCTCACCTCCCCCTCCCCCGCTCACCTCCCCCTCCCCCGCTCACCTCTCCCCCTCCCCCCAGGCCTCCTCGGCCACCAGGCTCTCGTACTCTTCCGCTGCGTAGCGTTCCCAGTCTGACAGTTTGGGGCCTGTGGGGTCAGCATCCTGGGGGCGGGGTCACATGGGGAGGGCGGGGTCACATGGGGAGGTGGGGTCACATGGGAGAGGAGAGGACGTGGAGGATACGTCTGTGTGTGTGTGTGTGTCTGTCTGTGTGTCTGTGTGTCTGTGTCTGTGTGTGTGTCTGTGTGTGTGTCTGTGTGTCTGTGTGTGTGTCTGTGTGTGTGTGTGTGTGTGTGTGTCTGTGTGTGTGTGTGTCTGTGTGTCTGTGTGTGTGTCTGTGTGTGTGTGTCTGTGTGTGTGTCTGTGTGTGTGTCTGTGTGTCTGTGTGTGTGTCTGTGTGTCTGTGTGTGTGTCTGTGTGTGTGTGTGTGTGTGTCTGTGTGTGTGTGTGTCTGTGTGTCTGTGTGTGTGTCTGTGTGTGTGTGTCTGTGTGTGTGTCTGTGTGTCTGTGTGTCTGTGTGTGTGTCTGTGTGTCTGTGTGTGTGTCTGTGTGTGTGTGTGTCTGTGTGTGTGTCTGTGTGTCTGTGTGTCTGTGTGTGTGTGTGTCTGTGTCTGTGTGTGTGTGTCTGTGTCTCTGTGTCTGTCTGTGTCTCTGTGTCTGTCTCTGTGTCTGTCTGTGTGGGGGGAGCCATGTGAGCAGCGTCATGTCCGTCGGGGCGGTTGCGGGTCGTGGGGTGGGGGAGGGGTGGGAACGAGGGACTGGGTGGGGCGTTACGAAGAGGGCGTGGCCTCGCCGTGACTCACCGGCGCGGGCCCCGCCCACTGCTCTCGCTCCAGGAATTTCTCCACGTTGACAAAGGCGTCAAAGAAGGCGGCGGCCAGGGGGCTGCGCTTGAGGTCGGGCAGCGTGATGCGGCCTGGGGTCAGGGGTCACAGGGGTCACAGGGTCACGGGCGGGGCGCGCAGGGCCACGGGAGGTCACAGCAGCACGTGACCCGCTCACCTGGTACACGCGGCTGCACCATGTCCAGCACCTGGCACGCGAGGTCGCGGAAGGGCAGCGGCTCCACGCCCCGGGCCTCCATGCGCCGCGCCTGCTCCTCGTAGAAAAACTCGAGCTCGAACATGGAGAGCACGCCGTCGCCGTCCAGGTCCATGCAGCGGAACCAGTACTCGACGCTGGGGGACACGTGTGAACACACAGGGCACACAGGTGACACACAGGACACACACGTGACACACACAGGACAGACATGTGACACACAAAGGACAGACGTGACACACAGGGCACACGTGACACACACAGGACACACACGTGACACACACAGGACAGATACGTGACACACAGGGCACACATGCCCGGGCCCCGCCCACCTGGTGGGCGTGGTCTTGTCCTCCTCGGAAATCAGGAACCACACGAAGTCAGCGTAGCTGAGTTTCCCATCCTGCGCCTTCCGGGCCCTGCAGGGTGGAGGGCGGGGCCAGAGGGAGGGAAGAAGTGAGGGGGTGGGGCGGGGCCAGAGGGAGGGAAGAAGTGAGGGGGCGGGGCGGGGCCAGGATGGGGCGGGGCAGGGAGGGGCCAGGGAAGCAATGGCATCAAGAACTTACAGCAGGGACACTCAGGGTGGCCCCGCCCACCTCCTAGTGACCTCACCTACCCCGCCCACTGCCCAATGACGTCACTGGGCCTACCCACGATGACGTCAGCGACCCCGCCCCCTCCGCAGCACGCACCGCGTGACAGCCCCCGAGAAGATCCTGTCAATCATCCGGGAGGAAATGGCTGCAAGGGTAGCGGGGACGACGGCTGGGGTCGGGTCAGGCTCGGCCCCGCCCCCCGCAGCGCGGACACGCCCACAGCCCAGGCCACGCCCACTGCACCCCTGCTCCAACCACAGTAGAGTGGACCCGCCAAGACACAGCCACGCCCACTCCGCGAGGAGCCGCCCTGGGATCTGCGGGGATCCCCACTGCAGTGCAGCCACGCCCACCCGATCTGCAGCCACGCCCACTGCGGGTGACCACACCCACCGAATCCCGGCCCTCACTACCACACCAGGACTGCCCCGCCCTCACTCCCCACAGGCACCGCCCTCACCGCCGTCGCCATGACGACCCAGGTCCTCCCTGTCAATCACGAGGTCGTGGTCAGTGTCCAGCTCCCAGAACTTGCAGTAGATGACATAGAAATGCGCGTAGGAGAAGAACCCAGTCAGCCGGTTCACGTTGGGCTCCGCCTCCAGCGACGACACGGCCTGGGCGGGGCAGGGGGCGGGGTCACGTGTCACACCCACGCGCGTCATCAGACACGCACAGGGTCACCTGGGAGCCCACGTACACCAGGCCCCAGGTACAAGTCCGGCCCCCCCTCCTGGCCCCGCCCCCTCTCCAGGCCCCGCCCCCTCGCTCCCGGGCCCCGCCCCCACCTGCAGGAAGCTGCTCCGCCTCAGCTCTGCACACGTGATCCTGCCCGACCAGGAGCGGTTGACCGTGTAGAAAAGCCGCTGGATGACCTGTGGGCGGGGCTCACACGGTGGGCGGGGCTGGCGGGGTGGGCAGGGCTCACACGGTGGGCGGGGCTGGCGGGGCTCACACGGTGGGCGGGGCTGACGGGGCTCTCACGGTGGGCGGGGCCGGGGCAGCACTCACCGTGGTGATGTACTGGGAGTGGAACTCAGGCGCCTCTTTGAGGAAGGAGAGGCCAGGGTGCGTGTTCACCACGTCCTGCAGGGGTGGGCGGGACCAGAGGGCAGTGAGGGGCGGGGCCATAGGGCAGGGAGGGGCTAAGGAAGCGGGTGTGTTCACAACCCATGGGGATCAATTCTGCTACCGCCTGAGAAAAGGGCGGGGCCTATGGTGGAGCTGAGATAGTGGGCGGGGTCATGGACGAGTGGGCGGGGTCAGGCTGATGGATGCGTCAGTGGGAGCGGCTGAAAAGGGGTAGGGCTGCAGTCAGTGGGGCCATGAGGAGCATCAGAGCAGACAAGGGGCCGGGCAAGGCCTGCGGGACCAGCAGCAGGCCCTGAGCACCAGACCGACATTAGGGGGCGGGGCAGGCAGAGGGGGCGGGGCTGACGAGACGGAAAAGGCAGTGATCCTGCAATAGATGGGTGGGGCTGGGGGCGGGGCTGAGAGTGGGGGCAGGGCTGGCGGGCAATGACGTGAGGGGGCGGGGCTCAGGGCTGGGGGCGGGGCTGAGAGCCGGGGGCGGGGCTCAGGGGTGGGGGCGGGGCAGGGCGCGAGGCGAGGCGGGGCCTCACCTGCAGGAAAGGCACCAAGTCTTCCTGCGCGAGGCCCGTGGCCCCCGGCGCCTGCAGCAGCTGCAGGAAGCGGGCGCTGTCATCGTGGCAGGTGAGCAGCACGCTGGGAAGCGGTGGGGTCAGCAAGCGCCCCCTCCCCTCCCCTATCTCCCCCTCCCCTCCCCTATCCCCCCGCTCCGCCCCGCCGGCCCCGCCCCCGACCCGCCCACTCACTTCCGCCACATGGCCACGAACGCCTGCAGGGACACTGAGCCTGTGCGTCCCCCGCCCGCCGCGTAGAACAGCGGCGCCTTCCAGTAGAGCGGGCAGCCGCAGGCCTGGGGAGGGGCGGCGGTCAGCGCGGAGGGGCCTGGGCCCCTCGGGCCTCTCCCTGCCCCGCCCACGGCGTGACGTCACTCACCTTGGCGACCACGCCCATGTCCCCGAGCCCCGCCTCCTCGCGCCCGAACCCTGCAAACGCGCGTTCCACCCGGGCGACGACGCCGTCCACGTCCAGCCCCGCCCTCGGGCGCCCGCGGGGGAAGAAGAAGGCGGGGACCGCGGGGCCGGGGGCCGAGGCCGGCGGGGGCTCCTGTCGGGTCTGTACCTGCGCGGCAGTGCGGGTGATTGACAGCCCACATCGCCCGGCCACGCCCACGCCAGGTGCGCGGGGTCGTCACAGTGGCCACACCCACCCCGACCCCGCCCACAACCACCCCGACCCCCCCACACTCCAGACCCTGCCCACACCCCGACCCCGCCCACACCGTGACATAGTGATGTCATGTGAACTTAGGGCCGCTGACATACATGTGGAGGTGAGGCCTGAGGGCCCGCACACACCTGTACTCCTAACAGCTCCCCTGTGTGCACTGTAACCCTATGTGATGCAGCATCAACCCGTGACCCCACCCCGTGACATGGACACTGCCATGACAGTTACGTGTCCCAGTGACGCCCACAGCATGGCTCACGGGGCAGAGGTGTATGGCCTGTGATGTCTGAGACCGCCCCGCCCATGACTGCTCCCTTCCTCTTCCTGTGTGACACGTGTGGCCTCCATTGCGGCCACACCCTTTCCTGACTGCATGACATGTGTCTGTGCTTCCGATTGTGTAACTGTTTGTGTATGTCTGCATGTGTGCGTGCGTGTGCACACATCTCTATATATGTGTGAGTCTGTGTAGGCGTGTGCATGTCTGTTGAGCATGTCTGTACATGTGTCTTCACATATGCAAGTGTGTGTGTGGGTACACACGTGTGTCAGTCTGTCTGGTTGTACACGTGAAACTGTAAATGTGTGTGCGTGCACCTACATGTGGGTGTACATGTGTGTGAATCTATGTGCATGTGTGTGAATTTGAGTTTGTCTGCATCCATACATGGGTGTGCATGCCTATTTATGTACATATGCAACTGTGTCTGTGTGTGCATGTGTGCCTTTGTGTGTATCTGTGCACACGTTCTGTGTAAATGTATGTATCTGTGTGTCCAGGTGTATGTTTGTGCGTGAGTTTGTGTGTGTGTATATAAGTGTGTCTCTGCATCTGTGTTCATGTGCATGCCTGTAGGTGCATGAGTGTGCCTGTGCGTGTGCCTGTGCGTGTCTGTATGGAACTGTCCCTGTGGGTCTACATGTTTATGTATGCTTGCCTATACTTTCTCTATGTGTGCATCTGTGCTCATTTGTGTTTGTGTGCGTGTATGTGTAGACACTTGAGTGTGCCCATGTTTACCTGCTTGTGTGTGTGCATGTGTGTCTCTATGTACATGTCTCTGTGTGTACATGCATGCATAGGTATGGGCGTGTCTGTACATCCGTGTGTGTCTAAGTGCATCTGCATGGGTGCCTGTGAACTTCCCGTGTGTGTCTAGCTGCATGTCATTGTGCGTCTGTGCGCATGTGTGTCCCACACCCACAGCTGTCAGTGTGTACAGACGTGTTTGTATGTGCATGCGTGTCCCCCACGTCCCGCACTCACCGCTGAACTCCCGCAGTGTCTGCCCCTGCCAGAGTCGCCCCTGGGGACGTCACGCCTGGCGACGCCTCGCCTGACCACGTCCTGGTCTTCCCTGGAGTCGTCCCTGGCGACGTCGGCCCCGATGGCGTCACTGCGGACCGCGGTGACGTCACCCCTGACCGCTCCTCCCCGGGCGCCGCGGCTCCGGATGACGTCACCGCCACTCCCCCGGTCCCTGATGACGTCGCCGGGCCCCGCCCCCTGCAGCCGGCCCAGCTCCTCGCGCAGAGCCCGGCGAGTGTGGGGGTCGCCGAGCCAGCGCAGGAAGAGCTCGTCCACCTTCATGCTGAGCACGGGCCGGAGCGCCGGGGCCACGGCGGGGGCGGGCGTGGACGGACGCACGGACATGGCGCGGGCGGGCGGGCGAGGCCGCGCCAGCAGCTTCAAACCGCTGAGCGCCGGGGCTGGGGACGGCGCGTCATCAACGCGCGCCGCGGACATGGCCGCCCCGCCCCGCCGTCTCCATGGCGACCGTAAACAAAGGGAGCCGGCAACATGCGGCGGCGCGGGAGAAACGCGTCATCGCCTTCGCGCCGCCAACCTGGCCCGCCGTCCCTGTGCGGACCGCAAAGGCGGGGAAGGACGGGCTCGCGGACGGACTCACTGACGGACGCGCGGGTGCGGCTGCAGCCTTGAAGCCTGAGCCCGGGTGGCGCCGCGTGATGACGCTGCCAACATGGCGGACGCGCCACTGCGACCCTCCCCCGTCACCATGGAGACCGCAGAGGCCAGGCGGGCGGCAACAAGGCGGAGTGCGCGCCACAGTCGCCCTCCCGTTAACACGGCCGTTGCCGACGGTTTCTTCCACAGCCCCGTCCCCTCTGTAAATACTGCGAGCACACCGGGCGGACTACCAGGAGAACTGGCTCTAGGACAGACTAGATCTACACCATCCTCCCACAGGGACCATTGCCTTTATCGTGGAGGCTCATTCTTGTTCGTTCCCCTTCACACTATCTGTGCTACAGTTGTAGTTTCTTTTCTCCGGGGGTGGGGGGTGGGGGTCCTGGAGCTTTTAAATTACACGCGTGCTTTAGCCATGCAGATCATCAACATCAATGGAACCCGAGCACCTGCCAGTGCAGAAGACTTTTCACACGGACTTCAACTCGTCAACTCGCAGGCGGATGGATTAGAGAACTGCCGAGCTCTCTCTCACTGAGGCCCTTAGCCCTTACCCTCGGTGCTGTCTGCCTGATCTGCCTACACCGCCACAGCATTAGACAGGCCCAGGCCCACTTTGAAACAGCACAGACTCTACCGTCTTTGTTCAAGAGAACGCCTCTGCCCAAGCATGGCTGAACTTACAAATGAACTAATCAGCAAGGCAGAAGGGGGCAAATATCCACACACTCACACACAAGGAAAGAACACAATTTAATAACATTGATGTATTGGGCCCGAGTGTGGGTCCAACAACCCCTCCACCTCCGTGGAACTTCCTGGGTCTGCTCTGAGCACACTGGACCTGCCTATCCACGTGGGCCCACCCTCAGTCCCTGCCTGCCTGATCTTTGACCCCCATCACCAGGCCTCTGCTGGAGGAGAGACCTCCAAGAGAGCTTGGATCATCCAGAGTTACAAACATCGAACTCCTGACCCACCTACACCCACCAGGAGAGTAGGAGAGAGAGAGAGAGAGAGAGAGACTCCACTTGCACCCATTAGAAGAAGCGATGGGAAGATGGCAATACAAGAAAACGCCCAACAATAGAAAGACAAGCATGACACCACGAGAATCTAGGGACTCTACACCAACTAGACCTGAGCACACCAAAGCAGATGAAGCAGAAGAGAACGACTTAAAAACTAACTTCCTAAAAATGATAGAGGCTCTTAAAGATGATATCAGAAAATCCTTCTTCAGACTGGGAAAGGTTTCCTCCATGATTTTGTTGAATGTGTTCTCGGCACCTTTGAGCTGGGCTTCCTCACCTTCCTCTGTGCCTATTATTCTTAGGTTTGGCCTTTTCACGCTGTCCCACATTTCCTCGATGTTCTTGGATTTAAGATTTTCTTTGGTCGATGATCTATTTCCTCTGGTTTATCTTCCGCGCCTGAGATTCTCTCTTCCATCTCTTGAATTCTGTTGGTTATGCTCGTGTCTGTAGTATCCCATCGTTTGCCCAGTTTTTCTATTTCCAGCATTCCTTCAGTTTGTGGTGCCTTTATTTTCTCTATTTCAGTTTTCAAGTCTTGAACTGTTTCCTTTACCTGCTTAATTGTTTTTTCTTAGTTTTCTGTACTTTCCTTAAGGAATTTGTTCATTTCTTCCACTTTTTTGTTTGTTTTTTCCTCCATTTCTTTAAGGGATTTTCTCACATCTTCTTTGAGGGCCTCCATCATTTTTATGAAGTTTTTTTTTTTTTAAGTCGTTCTGCTTCATCTGCTTTGGGGTGTTCAGGTTTAGTTGGTGTAGATTCCCTAGATTCTGGTGATGTCATGCTTGTCTTTCTATTGTTAGGTGTTTTCTTGTATTCCCGTCTTTCCATCTCTTCTTCCAGGGGATGCATAAGGGGTCTCTCTCTCTCTCTCTCTCTCTCTCTCTCTCTCTCTCTCTCTCTTTCTTTCTCTCTCTCTCTCTCTCTGCTACTCCCCCGTGGGCGTAGGTGGGACAGAGGTTTGATGCCTGTAGCTCTGGGTGGTCCAAGCTCCCTAGGAGGTCTCTCCTCAGGCTGGGCTGGCAATGAGGGAGAGGACTGTGCCGTGGGGGTCAGAGACCAGGCAGGTGGGGACTCAGGGTGGTTCTGCATAGATAAGCAGGTCTAGTGTGCTCAGAGCAGCTCCAGGAAGTTCCCCGAAGGTGGTAGGATTATTGGATCCACCAGTGCTCAACCACAGCTGTGGGACAGTGGGTTAGGTATGGCACAAGGTGGGGGGAGGGCAGGCTCTTCCCCCAGGGCAGGGGACTGTGTATCAGAGCACCTAGAATGCTCTGGCTGGGGACAGGACACTGGGGAGCGAGATTCGGGACCAATCCAGGGAGTGCCCAGGGAAGGGGGGGGGATTCAACCTGAACTGGTCCCAGACTCACCTCCAGCAGAGGCCCGGTATGGGGGTCAAAGATCCAGCAGGCAGGGACTGGGGATGTTCGGGGGGGGGGGCGGGGAATAGGCGGCTCCAGAAATACACTTTTAATAATGATCTTCAACATACAAGTTTGAGTCCTCTTCTGTGTCAGTAATGTATGATTTCCTTACCGCTCTTTATTACATCAGCCCTGCAACCATACACATACAACCAACAAAAAACAGACTCAGGAAGTTTTCTTCATACATGTCAACATACTTGTTCATGAATACTTTTCAAGGAAGACGTTGGAAGGAATGGAGTAAAGAGAAAAAATGTTCACACTCTTCATTCCTAACTATGGTCCCCAAGGTTTGTCACTTGTGTAACATGTCTTAGCAGGTCCGGTCTCAAACAGAAGTCTCTGACTTGAGGCAGGGACGATCAAGGTGCCATCCCTCTAGATGTGCAAAACGGAACATTTCTCTTGGTTTTTGCTTATAGACTGTTCAGTGGGTGTCATGGGGTCCTACGACTATATCTGCTTGTGTTGACTGAGTGATGCCAGGGTGTTCTCATTATCAGATGCATCCTTGAGTGTAGTTGGTTTCCTGACTAAGCTTTTTTTTTACATGTCCAAAAGTAATTTTATTTTTACAATGTTCATTGCAATAAGGGTTCTGATTCAGTTGCCTTCTGCCCAATTGGAACACAAGGAGCAACCTTGTCATTATCGCCACACTGGGCTAAATGTAAACTGAATACTTCACATCATCTATCATGGAGCCTTGCACGAGCACCAATAATTTCATGGTCTAATGAATTATGGTGTGGAAGCAAACTTATACTTTTAGCCTTTTTCAAGCCTTTTCCTCACCTAGCCTGAAACACAGGAGAACACATCATACTTTCTGGTGAACATTAATACTTAGTATCTCATAAGAGAGGACATCTTATGAGAAATACTTCTAGTTTACTTTTGATACTATGAACAATGAATCTATTACGCACAGGCTTATGTAGTTTGTCCCTGTATGTTGTTAATAATAATAATATAATAAACTAGGAGTCCAGGATATTCATTCTGTATATTATGAAACATACAATTACTGTTATTTAATTACTGCTACCACAACAAATAATACTATAATTGTGTTTCAGTGACTTCCTTTTCTCTTCTGGATCCCAGTAAAATAAGAGAAAAAGTGCTCTTCCAAAAACTTCAATGCAACGCTTGGAACATTTCTAACAATTTCAGAATGCATTCTTTTTAAATTTATTACTTTCCCCCCCCCCCCATTTATCTCACATCCTAACTGCAGTTTCCTCTCCCTCCTCTCCTCCTGTTCCCTCCTCCCACCTCCCCCCCCCATCCATTCCTCCCTCTCCATTCAGAAAGGGGCAGGCCTCCCACATCAAACTGAGCAGGACCAAGATCGTCCCCTTGTATCGAGGCTGGGAGAGGCAACCCAGCATGGGAAATAGTTTCCCAAAAGCCAGTTCTCATTCCAGCCCCAGGAGCCCCACAAACACTCAAGCTACACAACTGTCATACATGAAGAGGGCTAAGGTAGGTCACACACAGACTCCTCCGTAGCCGTGGGTCCAGGGTCCTTGAGCTCCCATGAGCCTCAGTCACCTGTTTCTGTGGGTTCCCCTGTCTTGACTTTGACCCCAACCCCGCAACCTTCACTTGCACAATTCCAATCCTTACTCTCTTCAACAGGGCTCTCGGCAGCGTGGCCCGCTGGTTGGCTGTGGATCTCTGTATCTGCTAGAATAGAAAAAAAATTCTTAAAAATTCATTGGTTTACTGGTAGCTGGATATTTACTTTAATAGACATTGTTTCGTCTTCCATAGTTGGAGGCTTGAGGTTAATATAAAATGTGCAAATGGCTCAACTTACAATCAAACTAGTTAAAATGTTTCTAAAATAGAATTTAAAAACTGATTTATTGATTTCATAGAATGATTGGATGAAGGAAAACAACCTATAGACATGTAAACATTGTAAAATATCTCTCACTTTCAGCTCTCTTCAAATATAAATAAATATGAAGGGAATTGCTTGGAAACTTCCTCTTGTATAGAAAAATGCCATGCTTTGAATAGTGAGTCAATGGTGTAGAATGAAATATTTACTATAATTTGTTTATATATATATATATATATATATATATATATATATACACACACACATATATATTCATTCCATTAAATACATGATGAGTTCCAGGCCAGCTGAAGCTTTCTGATGGTACAGTTATATTCAGTTATATTCAGTTATATTCGTGTGTGTGTGTGTTATTGTTTGCTATTTAGACATGTCTTACTATCATACTCACTATATAGGCTAAGCAGGATTAAATTTGTGGAGATCGGCCTGGTTCTTCTACTGTGCTCAGATGTATTCATTTCTGAGAATGATTTG